GGATTGAACCGCGGTCCCTGATGCTTTTGCTAAGCTTGTTCTAAGTAGGTGCTTTAGACCACTGAGCCATCTCTCCAGCCCAGAATTTATTTTTTTTAAAAAAGAAAAATGCCACTAAGGTTTTGTTTGAACTTATCTATTAATTCACTGCGCCCATCAACTGGGACAAGAGATTCAGGTGGCTCCACTAAAGCCCCTTCTCCGGCAAAGCACGCCCTAAACGACCTTCCCGAGTTCGACTCAAGCCTGAGCAAATGGGCACTTCTATGCCACAGCCCCGCAGTGCAGATATCTCCCCTGCTGAGATCCGCATTCCTGGGTGGGCATGGGGACCACATTCTAAAAACCGAACGGGCCGAACCGCCAGCCCATGCAACGAAAGGGGGAAGGGATAGCCCCCACCCCCAGCTGTGTGATTAAGCCTGGAGACTTTCTGTGCATGGAGCCCGCCAAGCTTTCCGCCCTCCGGAGTCCCTCATCAGGCCACTCACTTCTCGGAGGGTCCGGCCCAACATGTTCTCGGGTTCAGCCTGCGGCCACAGCCATCAGCTGACAAGGTGGAAAAAGAGGTCATCAGCAGCTGCGGGTATCGCTGGGCGCAGCCATCTTGGATCGCCCCTGGACCCTTCAACACGGAGCTCTTGGATTGGTCGAATTGCAGCCCCGGGGCGCGAGCTCTGCTCGCGATTGGCTGGCGCCGCAAAGCCTCACGGGGCGGAGACGGAGAGCGGGCCAGCAAGGGGATTCCGGGCTGGGGTCGCCCCGGGAATTGGGAAGCGTTGATTGTGCGTGGCCTGGGGCTCGGCAGCCGGGTCGGCTTGTCCTGCCAAGGGTTCCCAGGGCAGGGATTGGGGTGGGGACCCGTGCACAGCTGCCTTTTCCTTTTTCGTTTTTAATGAGGGAGGGGATAAGGCAAGGAGGAGGACGGACAAAATAATGACCAAACATTAATTACTGATGAGAAGAACGGAGGAACCGTTTCATATTGTTGTTCCATGAGGTTAACTTCATTTCTGAACGCACAATTTTGAAACTGGCTAGTGGCTTGGTAGAATTTAATTGACTTCAGTGGTGAGCGTTTGACCCACCTAGGTTCATTTTATTGAAGAGCGCTGTTTAGTCACTTTGGCGATGGAGGTTTTGAAGACTTGTGTGCTTAGAAGAAATGCCTGTACCGCGGCTTGCTTCTGGAGAAGCACGGTTATACGGAAGCTTCCTGTCAGGAGGATTAGTACTACCTGTCCAAGGAGCACTGTCATGCCTGCGTGGGTGATAGATAAGTACGGGAAGAATGAAGTTCTGCGGTTCAACAAGAACATGATGTTACCTATCATACATTATCCAAATGAAGTTATTATAAAAGTCCATGCCGCAAGCATAAACCCTATAGATGTTAACATGAGAAGTAAGTTTTCAAAAGACATTTTTTGTTACCTTTCCAAAGCTTTCATTAAGCGTTTAGTTTGTTTTTTATTTATTTTGGTTTTTTTAGGTCAAGTGTTTGACTATGCTTTGGTTAACACAATGGAATCATTTAGGTTTTTGCTAAGACTTCTGCAAATATTATCTAAAAAGTTTGAAATCCCACTAGCTAGTGTATACTTTAAACTTTTACGGAATGTTTGTGTCTATGCTTTCTTAAAATGTAGATTGGCACTAGAGAGTTTTGTCTTGGCCAACTTGGTGAGCTTCTCAGAACTTTATAGGCCTGTGGCGAGTATGGTAGGTATGGTGTGTTTTCACGTGGTTCTAGAATTTGCATTTTACGATAATTCCTGTCCTCTTCTTTCCCATCACTTACAACTTTCTTTCTTGGTCCAGAATTTCAAGCAGCAGGACCCTCGGATATGGACACAATCCTTTCTCATTTCTCTTACTGCTTTCTGCCTTCTGCCTTCTGCAGTTAAAATACTCTCCCCTTATGCTCTTTTCTAAAGTTGGATAATATGAGCATCTTAATTTCTGCTGGGGGATACCAATAAAGCTTGGAGAGCAGTATGATCCTTAAATATATACTATGGAACAATTGTAATTATTGTATTTCTGAAAGATGATTAATACTTGAATTACTTTAAATTTGGAAAGTACTAACAAAGTATTGTCAGTGATGCCTTGCTGATGGGAGCCCATCTATGTCTTCTGAAGAAATTGAAAAACATCATTTAGAATGATTAACCTCTGTTAATTACAAAGCTGTTTACCTTAGTGTTTTAATTAAGCTGCCACATGCAGTTCCTTTAACCCTTGATTACTGATTTGAAGAGTTTCTGTATAGAATTATAGTTAAATTGAACAGATTGCCTCAATACTAATTCTCGTATATAACTGAGATATGATGAATTTCTTTGTATACAATTACAAAATTAAGATTGATAATAAAAGGAGCCATTTTGTGCAATTTAGAAGCATAGGAAAATGCTGAGGTTTGGATTTCTTTTCCTTCTCTTGTTTTCCAGAAGTACTATAGTATTAAATTAGAGTATCAATTCTCAAATTTTTTGGTCAAGATTTTACTGGACTTTATATGAGCTATACCTATTGATATTTGAAATTAGAACAAATGTTAAAATATTTATACATTTATTTAAATATACAGTAATATTACAAGACTACATCAGAAGAAAAATGACATAAAAAGGACAGGCAGTTGAATCCATGAGGGCCTGAAACTGGAAGAATATATTAGAGGACAGATCTGCCTTCAGAAAGTTTTGATGAAAACTAACTTTCAAGATAAA